GTATATATAAGAGGGGAAAACGTGACGCGGGAGGGTAAGGTAATGTGTGTATAGACAGTGTGTAATTGATCTGCAGTCAGAAGTATTATTGACGTTCGTTGATATAGCGTTGTTTTAGCGCGATTGTTGAAGTTGAGTGTATCAGTAAAGTTGTATTCGGAAAGAATAAACCAGTTTTATTAAGTAAAGACTTGTGTCGTTAAAATTTCGTCGGAACAAAGTTACGGAAAACTCAATTAACAAACGGAGACGTAACAATATACAACAATCTAGGATTAAGAAGTAATTTATTGCTGACTTGTAGTACCAGAAAATGTCTATCAGATTAAATGAAAGATAGTTCAAAAACATGTCTTAAAAAAAGAAAAATACAAGTTAAAAATTTAAAGATTGGTCTTTGTGAGAATAATAGTTTAACAAATTCCACTTGTCACTCTACTTTATTCAGCTCCAACTATTTCTTCATGTACAACTTTTCTGCATGTTGGCAGTTTTAACAGAGAATTAGGATTCTTGGTATTATATTAAAACCTTAAATAATTTAAGACTTTCATGCATTAACTGCTTTGTTTATTCAGTTTTCATTGGTTTAAAGATTTACTTTTAAGATGAATATATTGTTTAAAGTTTTTTCAGTGTGTGTTGTTTGAATAGTAGTATGCATAATTTTTTACACATTTAGAATGTAGACTTACTCTGGTATAGTTTTATTCAATCACCTCACAAATGTGAAATGCTTAATAATGTATACCCACTAACTAAAATTTACAATAATTTAACTTTTTTTGTGTATGTGTCGGATATTTTGAATATAAATCATTCGTGTTGGTGTTGAACGTCTTCCGTTGCACAAGAAATGTTGGGATATTTCATGTCAGCTTTTATGAATGTAGAATTTTAGGGCATGTAATAACTTACTAGATATATAGTGTATGTGGATAATATTAAAACACTTTGAGATGTGTCAGAATTTAAAAAATGTTCAAAATAGTATGTGTTTCTTGTTTATGTAATCAGTAGTATGTGAAAACCTTTGTATCATAAGACACTTATTCAACAAATAATGTTAATACTATACTTAGTCAAAGTTTTGTATTTTAATAATTTAGTTGTGATTAACTGGACTAAATTGACTGAATGTGTAATTTCTTTGCAATAGCACACCAGCCTAAATTTTTCTTCAACAAAGCAGATCCTTACTGATAACATACATGTGCTTAACTGTTAATGTAACAGAACAAAACATCCCGCAGTTCTGTATGATTTAAACCCAACCAATTACCACATCACAGCTAGCTTGTTTGTTAATGGATGGCAGACACCAAAATTACTATATATAAACGATTTTTTGCCACCCGTTCTTAAGTATAAATGTATAATTCATGGAACATATTTTTTAAAACTGAGACTAGTACATCAAAACATTTTGCAGAAACATGCAGTAGACAAGCTTTTGCAATTGAAAATAAGTCCACTGTTTAAGAAGCAAGCATTGTACTTGTAGATATGTTATGGTTAACTTTATCTTTGTTGCAGAAACTTTGTTGCAGACAGTCCATTAGATCTGCTAGTCAAAAGATGTTTTTTTCTTAATAGTTAAAATGTTAACTTGATTGTTTGGTTAAACTTGTGAAATTTTGTGACAGAAACACCTCAGGGTATGACCTAAAAGATTGCAGTTTCTCATAAATAATGTTTATTAAAATTTCTCCTATGTTATTTTGTACTGTTTATGTATAGCTTTACCTGCAGAGCTTACATATTTATGTATCGGGATTGGATTTGGGAATGTAGCTCTTCTGAGAGAATGGACATTCAAGATTCTTATTCCATAGTGCAGTGACATCAAATGTTATATCCCCACCTAGCTAAACATGTTGAAATCTTCCAGTCAGTAAAATTATCTTGACACCGAACCAGTGCAATGAGCTGCACACTACAATGTCAATTCAAATAGTTCTGTTGTTTGTATTTAAAACGAGAGCAAGCCATCTGGGGTGGCTGATCCCTTACCAAAATGTACCCTTGAAACTTTTTATTTGAGATTGCATTCATGCATTATGCCCATATGAATTTGGTTATTCATTCAGTTTTGACTTGTATTGGGAAAATCAAAAATTTTTTGATTATTGGGCATTCAGAATACTGGGCAATAACCATTTTGTTGACAGAAAAAGGCTAGGCCTAATATTAATATAAATGTTTTGGAGGAAGTTCTTAGTGTTTTTCTTCTTTTAGTTTTGCTTTTTTCTTAATATTATTTTGAACCATCTGTGTTAAAGGCCTGTTATACTTCTTTTTCAACATTATTGTAATTATTCTAAAATACAGGTAGTTTACAATATTTCTATCCTATTTATGTTAATGGGCCTACAGCTTGAAATAATAATAGTTTACCATTATAAACAATGTAGTAAGCCTGTAGATCTAAGCAGTATAATTTAAAAAATATAGGCTTAGGTTAATGCTAATGCAACTGTGATAAAAACTGAAGTTAAACTATTGTAGGTACCTTTTTTACACTGCTGCATTTGAATATGTTTCATCATGCCCATATAAGGATTTACATGAAAAAAGAACTCTCATAAGAGTTCTATGAAGTGTAAGTAAATTAGCCTCATAATTTGCCAAAATCATTCAAGAGAACTTCTAGAAATCCCAGGGAATGCTCTGTAGAGGCTCCTGTGAGAGGGCTATTCCCATCTGTCATACCCAATCCAGAAGCAGTTTTGCTGTCACTTGTCATGGCTTCACTGTACATTCAGTCGCACATCTGTCTTCTGTTGCATTGTGGCCTGGTACTCCTGTTGTTGTTGAAAAGACTGCAAGCTGTGTGTATGGACATTGTTATACATGTACTCAAATTATATGAAATAAAATGTTGCAATAACAAAGAAGCAACAACTTTAAAACATATAAAGCAAGATACTTTTTATCTTCATCAAACAAGTTCACCTTGGGAAAAAGTTTCGGGTTCATTAGTTATCTTTTTTTTTTACTTTGATAGTTAGTTTTGTACAAAATATACTATATATAGTGTTTATATGATACTTGATGTTGCACCTGGTAAACTTCCAAAAATTGTATATTTGTTAGAAGAACATAATGTTTTATACCCTTGTTATTTAGAAAATTCACTGCACCCACCTGCTTGCCACACCTCATGCCGCACTAGGCAACATAAAAAAATAAAAATAACACACACACACACCAGATTTTTTGTTTGATCAGATACAGCAAAATATATTGAACCACCTATGTACAGTAGAATCATGTAGCATGAGAACATGGATATTTACAATGTATTGTTGCGACAGCGGAAGTCACGCAATGCTGAAAGCATGCGCGCTGGAGTTTCTAGAAGAATCATGACTGTTCCTGGCAACTCTAGTCTTTTCCAGGTGCCCTCTATTTTAGTATATAAGCCTGGCAAATAATTGCAGATAGATAGGTATAGAGATGATAATTGAGGCAAGTGAGCGATAGTGACCGTAAGTAAAATGTGTGAATCGT